TTAACATTGAACGAGGTTTTAAAGGCGTAGGATGGGGTTGGAAACGTCGGTGGGGGTGCGAGTGCATAAAGAGCTGTGAGCTGTAGACGTATTGTTACAAAAAACATGGAAAAATACCGAAACACCCGCGTTTTAGGTCTTTTAGATGGAAAAATTGGAAGTGTCCAATAACTGTGACATGCCGTCCAATAACTGTCTCCAGCCGTCCAGTAACTGTGTTTTTCGACCTCTGACTTTGTGACCACGTAAAGGGCGTAAGGCGTTGAATTCTTAGGCAAACTAGAGTGGTAACCTTTAGTTCGAACCTTCAACTAGCCCATGAGCCCATAGGTACGTCTCATCTTAAATCGAGAGACGCACAGCGCTGCTTTAAACGAAAGTGTGCGCTTAACCGTCCCATAACTGTATCACCTACCCTACTCCAGTGATCAAAAAGTTTCGCGTCTGTCTGTCTGTCTGTCTGTCTGTGTGTCTGTCATCACGATAACTCGAGAACGAATAGGGTATTTCGGGTAAGGGAAGAAGCGGAAACGGAACGGCCGAGCCGCTGCTGGACCCGTCTCAGCCTGCGAACTGCGCATGCGCAGTAGACGCTGCGTCGCCCCGCCGCCTCCCCCTCTCCCCCGCGGATCAGCGGCAGAGATGCAACCAGCGGTGGACTGGGCAGTTCCGTTTCCGCCGCTCCGCTTACCCGAAATACCCTATTGAGCAAGCGACCTGGGATTTTTAGGGTCGTTTTGTATCCTAAAAAGACAGATCGAGTTCGAAGAAGAGCATTCTAGCTCAAAAATTGGATTTTTCAAAAATCAGAAACCACAGGACCCACAAATAATGTTTCTTAAAATATTTTTTTATAGTTTCCGATAGGGTAGCTCATTAAAGTAAAGCCCTTTGGGTGAAAATTTCGTCCGTTTGGCTCTATCTTGAACCGTTTAGGCGCCACAGGGGGGTTTTGACGAAAACAAGCGAAAAAATGTACGACGCTGCATGCTTAGTCGAAGTGACGAGTTGACGGGCCGGAGGCCCGTATCTTGGTGTCAATTTTTGCGCTACCCGACTCGGGTGTCAGCGCCGCAGGCCTAGGTAGATGTATGCCAGGCGCGTCGCAGGTCGCAGCGCAACAGTGTTTCGTGAGATATCGCGAAGCCTGTTACGCGAGACGTGGTCTGGCGTACATCTACGTAGTTGCATAATCAAGACGTAAAAACATGTAAACCGTAAAACTGGTTGTTGCAAAATTCTAAACGTCTTCTCTAGAACGCCAAATATTGGCGTCCTGCCTGCTTCTCACAAGGTAAAATATTGGCGTCTTTGAACACCAATGTTTGGCATGATTTTGAGCATTGGGCGCACTTGCGTTGCACTTGCAACTCGCGTACTCGATGCATGCATGCGCTAAACGGCGCGGCTGAGAGTAGGGGTCCTGGAGCCCTGGAGCCGCCGCGCCTCAGGACCGCTCCGCCACAGCCCTGGGGTACGTACTTTGGGGTTCGCCTTGACCGGAAAGAGAAGAGCAAATATCGTGGGGACCGGGAGGAGGGCGAGGGTGGGGGGG